TTTTATCCAATACTAAGCAGTAATCAGTCTGATAGGGTGACAGAAGCGAAAGTAACAGTAATTAAAATGTTCCTATACATGCAGTAGCCATGTGCTACCATTAAATATTAATTTTAGTGAAACTGATCCAAACATAAGATCCTCATTCCTTATTAATGTCATGTTGACAGCTGCTGCATCATCCTCTCTCTTCCCTCTTCATCTGAGTGATCTATGTTATTCATACAAACCTCTTCTGCTATTTCAGACATTTCATTCCACACTTTTAACTAGCAGTCACTATTGATGACCATGCTTCAGCTGCCCTGACCCTGTCCTCTGCCTACCCAGTCTCTGTGTATACAGGTGCGTCTCAGAAAACTTGACTATCGTGGAATAGTTCATTTTGTTTCGTAATTTAAGTCAAAAAGTGGAAGTTTCATTTATTCTACATTCATTACACATAGTGAAATATTTCAGGCCTTTTCTGTTTTAATCTTGATGATTACGGCTTACACATACCTTAGAATATTAGAATACAGAAAGTATTAAACAGAAATGTCGACCTGAGACTGGTTCAGTACACACAACCACAGTCATGAGGAATGACTTCTGACTTGACAGTTGTCCAGAAGATACTCATTGACACCCTCATAAGCCACAGATGGTCCTTACTGAAAGGGCTAGCTGTAAAAAGTGCTAAATCCAAGCATAATCATGGGAAGTTTACTGGAAGGTTAAAGTGTGATAGGAAAAGGTGCACAAGCAACTCAAGAACTTGGGGGAGCTTTAGAAGGAGTGGACTGAGGCTGGAGGAGGTCATCAAGAGCCACCACGCACAGATGTGTCCAGGAGATGAGCTACAAGTGTCAGATTACTGTCAAGTCACTCCTAAACCAAAAACGTTATCAGAAGCATCTTACCTGGGCTAAGGAGCAAGGAACTAGAGCATTGCTTAGTGGTCCAAAGTCTTCTTTTCAGATGAAAGTAAATTTAGCATTTAATTTGGAAATTAAGATCCCAGAGTCTGGAGGATGAGGGGAGGGGGATCATATGGTTGCCATATCATCTGCTGTTGTTGGTTCAATTCCAGAGCAGCATCTACCAGGAGATTTTATAAATCTTGTCAACGGAGGCTTGAAATGCTCTAGAGATGCTGATTTTATTTTCAAGCAGGACTTGGCACCTGCCCATTGTGAAAATGCCTACTAACTGGTTTGCTGACCATGGTATTATTGTGCTTGATTAGTCAGTCAACTCACCTGACCTGATTATTGTCAAGAGGACAATGAGACGCACCAGACCCAGCAATGCAGATGAGCTACAGGCCGTAATCCAAGCAATCTGGGCTTCCATAACTCCATAACTCAGCAGGGCCACAGGCTGATTGTCTCCTTGCCACAGCACATTGATGCAGTAATTTGTGCAAAAGGAGCCCTGACCAAGTACTGAGTGCATAAATAATCCTTTTTCAGAACTTTTCAACTTTTCAAAAGATTGTCATTCTAATATTTTAGGATAAGGATTTTGGAGTGAAATATTTCACTGTGCTTATATGAATCTAGAACAGTTTCACTTTTGGACTTTATACTTTCATTACTGGAAAAAATGAACTTTTCCACAATATTCAAATTTTCTCAGATGCACTTATATATAGAAGACAGCTGTGAGTCACTTTCTGCCAGGTTGTCTATCCACCAATCATCAGTTACCTGCACCTGGCCTGATCACTGTCCATCTGCCTTTTGACTACTACCTGTTCTCTGGATTACTTTGCCTGGTGTGACTTTCTACTCACTGCAGACTGTAAGCAAAATTGTCTGTTACTATTTTTTACCACACCTATTTAACTGTGATCCACTTTTAAAATCAAACCATTTATGTGTGGCATATTGTTAGCTGAAAACATCAACATTATCATTATGCCACTTGCATTGGTTCTCCAGTTTTCACATTACAAATAGATAAAAATACCGCTCACTCAGTCTCTACCAACACAGGTCATAATGTATAATTTTGCTTTAACAGCGGCTATATTTTGTTTATATATACACACACACAGTATATTAATATAGGAAGATGCTCACTATTATGATACCCAATTCTGACACCTTTTGATCCTTTCTCCATCCTTGAAATCCTCCTTAATTTTGGTTGTGTATCTGTCATGTCAACCAGTACATCAGCAAGATCAGGTATGCCCCCTAATTGTAATTATGTATATTTTGTAAATGAATAATGCCCATATTGGCTGCTACTGTTGCAAAGCTTTGGACCATTTAGTTGACTAATGTAATGTTAAGATTCTAAGAAGAAAACGCACAAGACTGTGTTTTGCTAGGTATAAATTAGGTTATGTTCCCAGAATCTATTTAGATGCAGATAGACACAATCCTACACAACTGGAACAGTTAAACACCTCAGGAAATATATTTATTCACCATCTTTAAGTGTGTTAGATGAGAAGACTGATAGCGGTTTTCATCTTTTAGAATTAAAATTAAGGACAAAAACAATCCGTCACATAACCTCCAGTAAAGTCACATCTTTTCGTTTTTACACTTTGGTTTTTGTGCAGATTAAACAAAGATGGTGTGTTAATCTCTGAACTTTAGATGTGCTGGTAGGGGGATTTTGTTACCTTTGGAAGGAGCCATGGGTTTCCCCTGTTTCCAGTTGTTATGCCAAGCTGAACCAGTTGCTGACTGAGGCAATATATCATCATATTCATATTTACCAAATAGACATAACTGGCATCTATCTTAACCAATACACCTATTTTCCAATTAAAAAACTATTCCATTAATAATTTTAATGGTGGTCTTAAGTTTAATCTATAGGACATTTAATTACATAAAGAAATTTTTCTAAATGTATCCAGTTGAATTAAACTGGAAAAATAAGTATTTACAAAAGTTATCCAAAAATGGTCTGAATACACAGCACAGTATGTGCAGGCAGGGCCGTACTAACTGTTTTTAAAACATCAAAGCCGCTCTTGTTTGTACCTAGTTAACAAACCTATACAGTGTGGTGCCTAATTAAGAACCATCTGAGCCTTGTTGCATCACGCACACTGCACACTAATTGTGTGTGGAAATGAAGGTGCCTTAACAAACTGACAAAGCATTTTACTGTGTCTGTGTGTATCCTGGATTTACATCACTAAAGGGATGTGATTCTCCGTGTGGTAATCCTGTTCAAGAAGGTTACATTTTCTAACATGCCAACTTTTTTGTTCAACCTATAGCTTTTCTCTAAAAAGTCACGGAGCGTTGCAAATATGGCTCTAGATTTAACGACACCGTTTCAATTTCAGGCTTCAATCTCCATACGAGGAAGAGTATTATACTATAAAGTTGAATGTGCCTTACAAGCTGTTTGTGTACAGCAAACCATCACAACAAACTATCACATCATATAAAAATATACTGATCAGTTGTGTTTAAAATGCTAGTTAAATTGCTCCAAATCATAAGGGATTTTAAAGTGAGATTCGATTTCCCACTTCATCTTTTGCCTTTTCACTTTACTTGCAAAATTCAATTATGCAGTTGAGGAGAGTCAAGTCAGCCAGTCAATTTAAGAGATTAAATATGTTTTGCAATGAATTACACAAGCTACTCAGAACCTCTTAATGGGCTCATTTGGATTCTGGATGAACTTTGATGAATAGAACTGAAGATAACATCTCTGAAGTCTCAGTCCCTTATCTGTAGAAATTCATCTGTTCTGTTCATCTGAAGGTGCTGTGCATCTCTGAACATGTCAGCTCACATTGTGTGTATTAATACAAATCAGTTGACGGGGTTGTTGCTTTTACTTAGAGTTTGATTATCTTAACTGTGTTTCAAAGCAGTGTCAAGGGTTTAGAAAATCTGCATAGTTGCTGGGTAAAACCAATCATGGGTTCCGATTAAACTGGATATTCAAATCTAATTAAATTATTTCAATCAGTGGCACTCTGGTGTCTCACAAATGTTAAACTGAATACTGTATGCTACGCTGGGCTTTGTGGAAATCCATACAACATGAAAGGTCATCTACAGCAGTTCCAGTTAGTGGAGCTATATAAAGAAAAAAGATAAATAAGAGCCTTGGATTTCATTCTTAAACCCAATTTAGGCATCAGGAATCAAGCAGTACTCTCTTTGGGCCCAGTCACACCAGCAATAAGGACATATGAGGACATTTTATCTGCTACCATAGAGCAACTGATGAGCATACCTAAACTGTATGGAGATTTGAAATTGAGGAAGATTAACAAAAGGCTTAATGTTTGGGGATATGTTCCAGCTAAATGTCGTCTCCTGTGAAAACCTGACTTAACCAGGGAATCGGTGTCATCTCTCATTTGTCTTTTGTCACCGTGACCCATCTACTGAAGCATAAATGCCAAAAAAGGTCTATAAAAGGGCACTTCCTCAGAAATGCTAGGAGAATATGGGTGCATAGTGTAACTGTTTTTTTGTTTTGTTTTTTTAAACAAAAAATACAGTCATGGCGCTTTCTTACAAAACGTTCTAGTCTTTGGGTTTTCATTACAAAAGGCATTTATTATTTTTTTCATAAGACATGCAAGTGATATTACTTGAACACACACCCCCATACCTATGTTTGATTTGGTTGCATTTGTGATGAGTAAACTGCATTGCAGGTGTGCTGATAATTATGTCAGCAGAGGGAACTGAAATAGGAAACAAACTGGTGAGTCATAACTGAAAAGTATATACACTTCGACTGCTCAAGAACGTTGACCCTCAATCCACCAGAACGTCCTTCATCAATGATATTGTTAGCTTAAAAATCTCTTTACTGAAAGCTTCCATCACGGTAAGTCTTTATTGTTCTCAACCATTGGACAATAGTCACAACAATGTTTTTTAATTAATATATTAATTTATGTACAGTGTGGTCCATTGCTTTGCACCACTTTGTCTTTTAGTAGACTACTACTAGGGGACACAAGTCAAAATTTCATGCAGACAAGGTAAAGCATCATGTCAGATTCAGCCATCTAATCACGAAAAGGTTTTTTTGTTTTATTTGTAACTGTCACTTTTTATTGACTAATTGTATAACTCTTAGTAACAACCTCCTCCACCTCCTATGTGCTTTAATAAGCCCCATACATTTTTTCAGAAAAGACCCCCCCTGTCCATGTTCTCCCATATGCGCCGTCCAAACCAAAGTACACTTAAATGTCAACTGTGGGAAAACAACCAGTGTTGACAGAAATAAATACTTTGCCAGATTTCTATATGAAGCAAAGGCATATATTAAATGTTCTTTCTAGGAGCACAAGTACATGACACTTATGTTGTCACTCTATCCAAAGCAAAACAGTGACACAAAAAAAATAACCCGTCAGTATAGTATAAAAACAGCTTAATGTTACAGACCCTCTAAAACCACCATTAGCTTGAGAGTGATTTTTAGTAACACAGCATAAGTGAAAAGATATACTTAACAAATGCAAACAGCATTTTGAGCAACTTCCTCCAGAAAGCATGAGGGTGGTTCCACCAAATGTTAGCTCAGAGTATAAACCCTGCTAGTTCGAAAGGAAATTTTTCCAAATCTAACAAAGAAAGCTTTACATTCAGCTCAACCACTATGTATTCTGGTTTATTTTAATGGGGTTCAAAGAGTTTTGTTAGTTTTGTAGTTAGTAAGTTAGTTGGAAACAGGAGTAAATGTGTGTTTATATGCCAATCACAAGGTGTTTTTTGCATTATTAGAGATTTGAGATGGCAGTCAGCAGTGAACCGGTCAGCACGAGACTGGAGGCCAAGAAGAAGATGAAGCCGTTGGTTAACCCCTGAGGGAAAAACAGGTGTTTACTCTCAGCTACACTCAAAATGTTTGGCTTCTGCGGTGTTCCTTTTTTTTTTTGAGGAATTTAAAGCTGAGGTAGGTAATTCATTCCAGAAGCATCTTATCCTATTATACCTGTTATACTATACATTCAGACAGAAATCAATAAAAAAACCTCACAACTTATATCTGTGGCTGTTGCAGGACTGTAATAAGCACAGTCAATCATTTCATTCGATTGAAAGCTTTGGAGGGAGGCTTAATGAGAGGGGGTGGGATTTTTTTTTCAGTTGGAGACTTCCAAAATCTAGCTGTCTTTTGCTAGTTCTCCAACGTTGCTTACCCTAGGCTTTAATCATCAAAGCTTCTCCATTACAAAATCACAATAAATGCTTCCGTTTCAGCAGTGAACCTTCATTTGGTTGACATCTGAAGTCACCTTCTCCTTGGTTAACTGTGACTGTATACTAAGTGAGTATTGCATATATTAGAGCCAACAGACATCCAAAGGAATGAAATGTTGTAGATTATTGATTATGATCAGTGCTGTGTTTCTTACCTTAATCTCTCTAAACACTAAAGACCCCCACAATGCTGCAACCAGACCGTATCCCTATAGAAAAGAAAGCAAACATACTGTTTGAGCACAAACTAAAGATTCAAACATCCTCTCAGCTTTAAGACTGTAACATACTTAGTACAGACATTTTAATGAATACATTTAGTTGGGCCAGTTTTAACATCCAACTGTATCTGCATTGCTTTTGTAGGGGATTAGAACAAAAAAACTGTTCATTACTCAACGAATGAAAGTTGTTGGAATGAAGCAATCTACATGCTGACAAGTCTTTATAAAAAAAGCATTGATGTACAGGTGCATCTCAGAAAATTAGAATATCATGGAAGAGTTAATTTCCCCCCATAATTTAAGTCAAAAAGTGAAACTTGAACTTCAGGCCTTTTTTTGTTTTGTCTTGATGAATACGGCTTACAGCACATGGAAATCAAAAATCCATCTCAAAATATTAGAATAATATTGTACTTTACATGTATTGAATCTAGAATATATGAAAAACTAGCTTTTTGACTTAAGGATGGCATTAGTTAGACCCCACCAGAGCCCAGGAACAGCAGGTTAATTCATCTCAACAGACAGACCTTGCATGGCTAAAGCATGATACCACAAGCAGAGGCAAACAGATTTTTTTGGATGAACAGACCCATTTACCATGCTAGTCTGCTTAGTTTTGCAGTGGTCTCTACTGAGTTTCAGACTACACAGGGATGTAAACCCTATCTGAAACCTCAAGTTATTGAATGGTTGTACTTGACTTCTACCAAACAAAAAACCTGAATGTTCTATTTCAACACTGAGCTGTGTGCAAATCTTCAATTTGAATCTGTCCAAGTGGTTTTAAATAGACAGTATTCATTCCATCAACCAGCCCACTCAGTTGTCAGAGCATACTTACTGCACAAACAATGGGAAAGGTAATAACCTCACTCAGGTAGTTATTGGCCAGGAACCAGCAGTATGTAGCCATTACCCACATCAATCCAGACAATAGACCTGGAAAAAACAAAGAGATGAGAACCGGGCCCTGTTTCAGAAAGCAGGCTTAAACTGAGCTTATCCTTGAGCTCTGGGTTGATTGAGCCTGAGGTGGGAAACTGAGTTTTCGGTTCCAGAACAGCTGATCAGAAGAAGTTCAATAAACTCTGAGTATGTTGAGCCTGATGGAAGCGCGTGCGTGGGGATGAAAAAATAAGCCATTATCAATGGAGCTCCGATACGATTTACCATGGCAACGGGTAAATATAAGACGCAGTTTACTCGTGAACCTGTGATTGTAAAGTCACACCCAGCAGGTTCGCCTATTAATTATTTTTTTGCAGTGGAAAATGTGTGTTGTAGACGTCTATTTTACATTAATACAATCTTTCAGCTGCACCACAGTCATCCTCACTCACATTATCTCCACTTGATAAAGACAATGTTTCAATCAGCCTACAATATGAAAGATTACTGTTCATTGATTGTTCAATATGTAGCCTAACCTATAAAACTAGTGATTACTACAGTAATGTAGCCCACAGTAAGTGTTTTCAGTGCAACAGTCCACAGAGTCGCAGCGTTATACCTAAAGATGGACATAGATTTTATTCTGGGCTGAGGATAAATCCACGATGTGCGGAGATCTGTCCTTACATCGATGACAGATTGATCATAAAAGCGGTCATGAATTCAAGATCATGTTTGGGTAAAAAAAACAAAACACCAATAGCCTATCTAACCGGGATTTTAAAGTTTTAAGATGTAAATGCATTCAGATATGTACGTGCTTTGATAGACAGAATGGATGAGGAAATGAAACCCGCCTCAGGCTCCACAGGAGGGGAGGAGTTAGAGAGAAACTGACGGGTTTTCAACTTATCCTGTCACAGCATCAATTGCTGGAGTTACTGATCTAGGGATTATCTGATCTCGCTCTCTGAAACAGAAAATCCAGAGTTTCCCCTCATCGCAGGCTCAACATACTCAATTTTCACTAATCTCGCTTTCTGAAACGGGGCCCAAGTGCCAGTAATTGGAAACTGGATCACAAATTGAAGAGTCGCTTGTAGACAGATATGTCCCTCATTTTCATGGAGTAACTAAATGTGTGGACAGGGTGGTCAAGCACCGCCCCATCACTACCACCACCCCAAACCCCTGTGCTGTGAAAGTAAAGCCCACCCACCAAGCTGTAAAACAAAGTGCTGATCTAAACTCACTAGGCTCAATGTATACCAGTTTTGGGCCGGAGTGGACATGTTTTGCCTGAATCAACATATCTAACCATCCCCTGAGTGGATGTGTTTGCACATGCAGGTTGCCAAAGAAAGCTGCTGCATTTCCTCTGATTCTTCCTGTCTTGCTGAGAGTCAAACTGAAGCTATTATTAAAACACTCTTGGCCCTTACAGGGAATAACAGGTCAGTGGTTCACAGAAATAAATCAGTTTGTGAATAATGGTGGTATACTGTAACCAGCACCCCTACTTTTTAGACCCCCTGTCACAGCTGAACATGGTGATAGATCAGATGCCAATTCTGAGGAATCACATTGGGTTGGTTTATGGCCCTTCAAAAATAAAGAGAAGTCTTAAAACCCCTCATTACAAGTGATGGTCTTAGTTTGGATATGAGTAATGAGCAAATTTCCATTTTAGACCATTTCATTTGCATGATTTTAGTGGTCTGAACAAGTGAAAATATTCAGTTTTGACAAGAAAAAAAAAAGAAGTAGATTTTGGAGAAATGTCATGTAGAAAATCCCTCGATTTAGTTCTCTTTCATATTTGATCGTCAAAATAATTCAAGTTATTTCAAAATGTAAATAAACCCTAAGACCTAATTCTTTGTACACTGAGGATTTCAATCTTTTCCCAATACCTTTTTAAAAGAAAATGATCGCCTTGTGCCGTTTCTTGAAATATGAAAAAAACAAAACAACAATGGCAGATTGCTGCTCTATGGAAAGAAGAAATATTCCGCACTGGCAGGTTTTTTCCACTTGATTTAAGATGATAAGACTTATTTTACAGACAAACATTACATTTATCTTGTACAGCAAAGGTGCACCTAATAAAGTTTTATCTCTGTGTAAAGCAATTTAGATTAATGACAACTCAAAAGATCATGATTATGCCACGAAACATCTGTCTAATAAAATGTGTTACCTGGTAAGATGGCTCTGGAGAACACTCTGGGCCTGTTATTCATGACAGCACAGTAGATGGTAAAGTACACTGTGCTTGCAACAAAACTGCCAGAGCACTGGGCATAGACATAGTCGATGTCTGTGAAGTTGAAAAAAAATTTTTATTTGTGTTTATCCCAGCAGGTTTGCAATAAAGACAGCTAAGCCAATTGCATTCCTTTGTTTTTGAGATGTCAGTCAATATCAGAGTTATAGCTAAATAGATATAAAAGAGCAGCAAGACATGTTATTGTCAAACAAATCCTTGAGCTACCCCACTGACAGTGACTTTAGAGACCTTTTAACCTGATATTTAACCTGGATCTCTGGAGGATTCAGTGTCTTTAAAGACCAACAGTGTGTTACAGTCTTAAAGCTGAGAGGATGTTTGAATGTTTTTTTCCTTTATTTTGTCTTCAAGTCAGGTGCATAGCTTACAAAAGGTAAATGTGAAAGCAGTTATCCAACACAGAAGCCATACCATAAACACTGGCTCCATGGAACATGCTGTCATTGCACGATGAACGGCTTTTAATGTAGAGGATGGGTGCAAAGGAGGACCCGTACAGCAGGCCTGACACAACAGCAAGTAGGCAGCCACTGATAAGAATGAGACGATATGTAGGTTTTAAATATCCAGTTACATACTGTTAAATTTATAAAACTAATTGCATACAATGCTAATGAAAACAAATTGACATTTGAATGTGCACACACATTTAATTTTAAACAAACAAGTTAAAAGTAGATAAAAAGGAGACAATGTGCATTACTTACGATACTGAGGTTTTACTCGCTTGCACTTTAGGTCTACTACTATGTTTGTTGTTTGATTGCTTAATTGAGTGCTCACATTTCTCCCTGCTTATTGTATTATTTTGCTGCTGCAGCCCATTTCCCCAGTGGGATGAAAGTGTTGTCTAAATTATGAAATTGTTCATTAAGTCAAAGAAAGGCTTCCTGTTTGTAACCTTAAGATTACAAAGGCCTCTGATGAAAGCTTAGGGTTTCATTAAAATAATTATAAAATTCATCTTTGATCAAACCTTGAGGAATATTTCTATATATTAATCAAAAATCAATGTTCCATACATCTTCCCTTGTCCGTGCTTTTAGCATACAAACACAATATCTGTGTAAACAGCTCAGTGACTGCTGTTGTTGTGCTCACATGAACTGTCTGGTCTTTGGTCCGATGAAATCTATCCAGAACTTTGAGGAATTTGATCCATAGCTGCTAGAATTTGATCTCTGCAGAAAGAAACAGCAATTTAATATGGAGTCGTGTTGTCTTTCAAAACAATGGCACCACCAGAATATACAAAATATGACGTCATCGTAACTCACTTTGAGAAACCAAGTGACGGGAATTGATTCAGATTCTCCAATTAGTATACTCACCCTGTCAATAAGCAATGGAATTGATTCTGAGTTGGGATGCAGATCCACGTCTGTTTTCACAAAGAAAAAGATCAGGCAACTGAAACAAACACAAAATATGTCTGTCATCCAAAACAAACCTCTAAACGCTACCACTGTTTTTTGTTCTTGTTTCAGCTACTAGATAATTGTGCTGGCAAGAAGGGGGGAGACCTTACTTCCAAATTTACAATTTACCTGAGCAGACACAACCCGGCTCCACAATAATTTAACATCGGCCTGGAAACATCCTGAGCATCAATCCCAAACCAACCAAATCTGTGAAAGACAGTCACACTCACTTTTTGAATACATTGCCAAATTAAGAAATAAAAAAAAGCCTCCTGCTGATGACATGGGGTGAACATCTGTTTTACCGGACCCAACAATTGCCTTGCAATGCTCAAATGTCCCAGAATGCCTTTTTTGAAGATTAAATTAAATTCATATCTAAAACTCACCAAAAGAAAAGGGACATTTATATTCCATTCTGGATTGAAGAGAATACAATGATCCGACTCACCTTGAACTGGCCCAGGCCATCAACAAACTAGAGGATCCCCAAATTAAAATCCCAAGACAGAGGCCAATCGCTTTAACAATTGGAACAACTGCTATATTCCCTGCAGATGACATAGGAGAAAAGTTAGCAAGATGCACGTCTTATAGATAGTGGGAACCTCCCATGTGTTTTGTCCTCCCAGGGAAGCTGGTGACAAATGACTGTCTCTTCCCATGTCAATAATAGAGTCAGCATTGACAAAGACAGAGATGCACACAGTTAGGGAACTAGGAAAGAGTGAAATGTTTTAATATTGGTCACATTGCAGTTGAAAGCTAGATGTGCCTCTTGAAAAGCACCTTTGTTTATAAAATGTCCACGGTATTAGAGGTTTAATACAACGTGGGAATAAGAGACACTGTTTTGTCCAGTAACATACATTGATGATTAGAATTAATCTGTTTTCCACATAATTTGAATATTTTTTCACTAGCATTCCAAAGCCAGTTAGAGATATTCATTGGCAAATACCTTGTATCATTTTTGGTATAAACAAAAATATAACGATTTTAGTGCAGAAACAGGGCACTGTCAACAGTACTAAAGTGCGCTTTATAGTATCAATATATAGTATGAAATTGGGACACACTATCAAGTGTCCTCAAAGTTGGTCTCATCTCTCATAGGAAGAGTACCAACGTCATAATTTCAAGATGGACTGCAACAGACAGACTCTTTAAATTGGTTGCTTCCCATCTGCTACATCCCAACGTCCAGCTGGACACTGAACCGATCCTATGAGACCAAGCCGCACTCAACCACATGAAAAACATGGAGTGATGAGTTTGGTTTGCTTTCATGTGACAATACCTGTAGCCCAGATGAAACCTCCAATCATTGCAAAAGGGTAGAATTTGGGCGACTGAAGCACCAAGTCTCCAACCATAGATACAGTCCATATCGCTGCACAGGTTACCCACTGAAAAAACATACCTGGAGACAGAACACAGTCATATTCTCATATAGGCCTGCAAAATTGTACCACCACTTGTGGATACCCCCCTTTTCAAGTTAAAACATTTAATAATGTTAAATCTTTGTAAAGAAAAAGTATAGCTGTATGCCTACCATCTCCTGTCTCTATTCTTTTGACAGGAACAAAGTTACTTCCATACAACAGCACAGCAACCGCATTTGCAACAATCCCATAGGCAAAGTGAGTCATGTTGGTTGAGTTAAAGGGGAAATCAAATGTTTCCAGTTTGCCAGTTGCAGAAAGTTCGCCACAATTGGCACCTAGTGGAATTTTAAAGCAAAACACACATCCAAGATGGTTGATTTCAGACAGCACATCAACCTCAGGCTTCCTCACATTCATCATCTCAGACCAATCACAGTTTAGGTTGGCCTACCTTTTCCAGGAGCATGTTCAGCGCTATGACACCTCACCATCAATAATGCGGTAACAAACATAAATAAAGTTGGATACTTTGCTTCAAGCATTTTAAAACTATTATTTGTTTTCTGTGATAGACTCTTGCAGGTCCACAGTGTTAAAACCCGCTGGAGGCCGTGTGCGTCTGCAGTGGTGAGGACTCAGCCAGGTGCTGCCAATTATCCCATCACTCAATCTGACACATGGCTGTAGTGGGTAGAACTACATGACAACAGCGATACAAATACCGTTGGCTAGCGGGAAAACACTTCAGTATGAAGGTTTCCATCAAGTCTGTTGTCTGAAATAATTCGTGATCTTACTGCATATAGCTATTTTTAACCCGAGAGGCTGTAAATCAATTCCAAATTTACTCTCAAATTAAATTAGCAGTAAATTACAGTAATACACACAAATAAATAAATAAATAATCTCAATATGGTTGTTCAGGTTTGAAGTCATTCGCCTGGCATGCTGAGGAGGACAGCGCTTATCGGCCACAACACAATAGCCTACTTCTATATTTAAACCGGTAGCCTGTTTACTCAGATCAGGAAATCCTGCAGAGCCCAGTCTGTGGAGATGTTTGTTTCCTGCTGTAGACCGTTTCCCTTTTCACATTTGTATTCTAACGCGTTGCTCCTGGAAATGAATAGCCTGCACTCAGCCAATTAAGAATTAAGGAAATGGACCACCAGATGTCGCCTAAAACGTAGGAATGTAAGACGAATAAAACATTCTTAGTACTTCATCTTAAAGCATGTATAACTTATTAACATCCGTTGTAGGTGATGTTGATGCAGCCCGTCCAACCTATTTAGATCTAATCAAACAATATCCTCATGAAGTCCACAGCGTCCAGACATGAATGTGCATCAACAAATAGCCAACTCCTTATAAAATGTTAGCACTTAGAAATCCCTAACAAACCTATTCGCATGCGCTTATATAGTATTTTTCGTATGCTTTTGCATACAGTTTGTAAATAGACACCCCCTGCTTTGTTTGAGGTGAAATATTTCAGCAGCATGCAGGCTGATGCGGGCGATGAAGTGAATAGTGCTTATCATGTATTTTACCACATAGCTATATTCCAAAGAAAAAAAGACGAAAAAGCATGAAAGATCAAGTCGTCTCATGTTCAGTTGGAGGGTGGTTTCCCAGGCCGCCCATCCCCTATGCAGTTGCCTCTGTGGCCACAAATCCACCCTTCAAAAATAAGTTTCGGAAGCCCTTCGGTACACCCTGGGTTGACGCTCAACCATGATCATACCTTAAGTTCTAATGGGGAAGTCTCGCTTTAACTGTCTGTGCTTCCCTTTTTTAAGACTGACCAGCGGCTTTCGGAGGTGCCCTCTTTCAAAAAGGAGTTTGATAATTGCCAGCGTGTGTGTTGTTTATTTGTTTTTTGTGGTTTCACAAGTTGGATACTCGCCGCTGCATCTGGACAGAAGGACTGATAAAGAGAAGTATCGACACACCCGTGGATTGTATAATGTGGATATTAGTGATGCGCTGCCAGACTCGGCGGATTTGCTGACCGGTGCCAGCTTTGTGGTCCCCACACGGTCCAACGTGGTGTACATAACGCTAAAGACTAAGCGCCTGAAACCAGCAAAAATTCGGGGTACAGTTAGACCAAAACTGAGGCGAAAATCGAGAAGGAATAAGTCGGTTAATTCAGTATTTACGCAGAACAAACTTGGCGCTTTAGAGCAGGACGCGAGCCAAATTAAGCGCAACTTTGCACCAAAGACTTCCTGGGGAGAAACCAGGGATCTTGATTATATATCTGTGGATATAATCCACGAATCTCATATTAATGCACGGACAGACTCTAACAGTAGTTCTATCCGAATTTACAGCCAGAGGGCACCGCCATGGTTCAGCCCACAGGACGTGACAGCCATGCGCTTTCTTGCGGATGCCAAAGTTGTGCGCATCAAGGAAATTTCTCATGGAGAGAGTCAACCACTTCTGATATTTGAGGGGGAGACGAGCGTTTCAATGAACAACCAAAAACATACAAAACGGAACAAAGATGTATGTGGAGGGCAGTGTGGACTAATCAACAGCCCAGTGGACACCACTGAGGTATTCGCTTTCCATCTAGACAGGGTGCTGGGGCTCAATAGGACACTACCAGCTGTAAGCAGAAAGTTCAGCTTTTTACATGGTATGTAAACAGACGAGGAAATAAAAGATATTGTCTAACTTGATAAGTTGGTGTCCTCACTTATAGCAGAACTCCTTTCTATGTACTCAGGATCCAAACTGCAAATTACATCAATATCACAGCACTGTAATCAGATCTATGGAGAAATTGATTGAATGTTTGAATAATACCATCCTTCAGTTATCTATGTAGCTTTATCATAGATTTAGGTGGTTTCAGAGATAAAGCCATTACATGTTACTCTTTAAGTACCCCAGTACAATGAATAAAAGAGTAATCATACAGTACAACCCTCTACCTTAACTCAGCAGGATTGTTATCAAGACCACATATAGTTCCTTTTGAGACCAGACTGAGAGAGACCAGAGCCAGTCCAGACATATTCAAGACCAAAAGCCATTATCCAATTCCATCTTTCCCACCTCACCATTATTCCATCTATCACTAACATCTGTGTCTGTTTTTTAGTGTGCAAAGGGAAAAAAGGCTTTTCACTGGGCCTCAGAGAGAGCCTGCGTTGTTAAAATGCTCTGCAAAATGAAAGTATATGTACTGAGAACCATAAATGGCATATTAACCTGTTTTGGGCCTTGGGTTGTGAAAGGCCCAATTCCTTCTACTCTTTGGTGCTCCAGCCCCATACACCATGTGCCACAGAAAATGTTGCAACAAATTTTGTTTTTTGTTGCAACATTGCTTTACCAAAATGAAAACATTATTGCATTAACAGCCCCCACCCTCCAGTGATGAATGGTTGCGGTAACTGCGTGTTACATTAAGAAGCAGGCTGGTCGCCATTTGCAAATCCAGGACGTTCTCTCTCCTGTCTTGATCTGCTCAACTGGAGAAGGAATGTGGTTTTACTGTAGAGGTGTGTACATGTTGAACTGAATGCCCATGAGAACACCACTGATGAAGTGTATTGCTCAGTACGCTTTTCCAGGATAAAAATAAGTTAAACAACTCACAGAGTGACAAATTGCTGAAACCTGACCACATAATCTTTTTTCCTCCCTCTTTAGATGGTCAGCCCTGTCCAGTTGTATCATGGGATGCATCTCTCTACCCAGATGGCCTTGCTGTAGGCTGGCCCACTGTGAGGTTAACGTGGGGGGAGTACCAGAGCTCCCTGAAACAGAGGTGTTGGCATAAAAACGTCAGCCCAAAGCCTGACTCCGGCTGCTCCACAGTTCATCACTACGAGTGGAGTAAACTAGTTCTGTTTGACTTCTTGTTACAGGTAACAATAGTTGGAAATTTCTCTAAATATGGAAAAAAAAAAAAACAATTCGGTCATTTGGTTTTCTGTTGTGCATTCACAGCCTCCACAGGGTTTATTAGGCTTCATAAATGACTTTTGGAAACATCTTTTTGTTTGACATCAACTATATTGTTACATCCTAAGGTCTAGGGGTTTCCTTGATGCAACATCAAGGTGTGGCTTCCCATTCCCATGCCACAGTTTAGCAGTTTATTTATCTTCAGAGATGAGCAGTGCCCAAAACAACCAAAACACTCTAAGAAACCTAAAACTTTCCTAAACCAAAATAAAAATGAAAGAAATAATTTTGTTACTATTTTAAATGGGTAAAATCGTATTTGATGAAAGAGCTCCGCGCAGCGCATATATTCTCTCAGCATCTCCTCTCGCCCCGTCGATCTCTCTCTCTGTCTCTCTCGGCACAGTTGTCATTCTGTGGGAAACACTGTATTTACACACAACTGGGATTCATGTTGATAAATACGCCTATGGGTGGGCAGGAGGGTGAGTGTGAGCAAGCATTCTCAATGTGACATCCCTGTCCATTATTTAGTGACTAGTAGGCTACCTTATCTGCCTTTTTGCTATATTGGTTATTAAGTAGGGCATTACAACAACATGGGGCGCAGTGTCAAAGATGCGCTTTTTGTAGTCCATCTTCAGAATATTGTAGTTTTATCACCAGAACCCACGTCAGTAACATCCGCCGTCGCATAATTAAGTCGCCTAGAAAAGAGTAATCGGATTATCTGAGCCCCGCGGTCGTCTTTTCCTAAGTCCTTATGGATTGTCCTTTACATCTTTTCTCAACCTCATGACGTTTTCCATCGAGGTCAAGGAAAGGAGGTTAGGAAAGGAGATTTTATGACCGCAGCCAAATTCTAGTATGCTCACAACAGTTCTCTACTCACAATGAAAACAAACAGGTTGGGAATGGCAGAAAGAAAGGAGGGGAGTTCCTGTCAGATGGGGCCTAAAATGGCTGCTGTCATCCAGGCGACCAATCAGGAGGTAGCAATCAGCTCTACAGGACCAATCCAGTGTGCCCACCTGTTCTCTATTATCTGCATACCCTCACACACACACACACACTCTAAGGGAGGAGACAGCTGACGGTGCAGGGAGAGAGATAAACACATACAGAATATGACCTCAGGGTCATAATAATATGTTCCAATGTCTGTTATTGCAGAAGAAGCCCTTTGGCTAAATAGATTATTTTTTCTGTGTGGGAGGCCTGCATCTCTGATCAGGTTTTAGCATTGAGGACACATCTCCTGAGAATTTAATTCATCCCTTGATAAGATAACATAAGATAGGATAAGATGTTCCTTTATTAGGGGAAATTCAAATTGGCACAGCAGCACAGGGGAATGTAAAATGAAAGAAGAAAATACAATAAAAGTACAATCAGTAAACATAGGAATCAAGTATGTATAACACATACACACTATATACACACTATGTACAATCAAAATACAATCAAAATAGAATCTGTCAGCGGAGATGGGAGATGTTGGCTGCTTTGGCGTTGATCATGAAGGCGCAAGCAAAGCAGAGAGAGAAGTAGGAAAATATATAGTAGTTTGGATACCTTTAGAACTAATAAATAAGCCGTTTTGATTATTTATCTGTTGTTAGTTTCTTATTTCAGGTTCCTTACAAATAAATTCATAAATAAGTAATGAGGAGTTCATATTGTGCAGTTTAGAAAAACAGATTCCACAGAACATATAAAACATCTTGTCAACAACATAAGTGGACTGATATATAGAAGTTCTTACATTGATTTGCTGGATACTAAAGAACAGACAAATCCCTTTTAAAAAACATTTTATGGTTGATATATTGAAGTCCATTACAGTGGATGCTGGGTTTGAAGGAATTAGGGCTTACAGAAGGGTGTGTTTAGGGGCTTGTTGGCTTGATTGACAAGTGTCCCGGGGGTATTTTGAGCTTCTCACACTTCATGCCTTGGTAGATGCTCATCGACCTAAGTTGTCCCAACCCCCAGGTTTCTCAAAAAGGTGCCTGCGAGTGACACCTAATCCTGACTTCAAAAGTCCCATCGGAAACCTATGAGTGTCATCTCAGAAGCTGCATCGTTGGTTTTACTTCTAAAACCTCTGCCAATCAAAAAAAAAAAGCATAAAGAGAGTGATGGATGAGTTGACGCTATCGTTGAGATTATTGGGAGTTAGATGAGAGCAGGGGCTGATAAAATACCCTGTGCAGGCATGTCACTGAGCAATCCAGTGGTTTAATTGATGTTGATATCTAATAAAATGAACGGGTAGTACTCATGCCAAAGAGACACTACAAAGACAAACTGCTGAATGTGTTGTGATTATTTTATCTTGTAATAAAATTATTATGTAGTCTATATACATGTGACAAGACACAAGACAAGAAATAATTCAATGCTTGCCAGGGTAATCCATAATTTTAAAAAAGGACTCCATAAATACCAGTTGTAAACCTCAATGTCACAACTGGCATTGTATGCTCAATACATCAACAATAACAACAGCAAGTATTCTCTGAAGAGATATGAACTTTCTTTTCAGATTCACAACCGTCTGGATCAGAGCTGCTGTGGATTCAGGCCCAGGCAGGAGGATCTGTGTGTGGAACTCGGCCACCATGCAGAATGTAGGGACCAGAACCACATACAGCTGACAAACATCATCCACAGGCGTCATGACCCCAAACACCTGGTCTTCACCAACAACAAGGGGTTCTTCGACAGAAATGAGGACAACTTGGACTTCCGACTCCTGGAAGGAATCAAAGAGTAAGTTAGGATAATATCAATATATATATATATATAATTATTATTATTTCATAAATACTGATGATTTCAGTGGCTTTGTGTTTATTGCTCTGTTAAATTAATATAGTAAACAACAATCAGATTTTGTTTTGTGTGCATCAAACAACAAAAACCTTTGTTGGAGCAACAGTGACTGGTGAGTAAGTCTAGCTGATTTTCCACAGTTTCTGATGTCCTCCCCCAACAACATGGTTGAACAATTCTAGCATGCAAAACAGATATTTATCTCTGAGCAACACATTCTCACTCCCAACTTCTCACATATGGAAACTTGGTCAAGACCCCTTGGCGTAAAAGTGTAGCTTTTGCATGTGTTGGGCTCTACGGTCAAGTTAGCAATAATAAATATGCAATGTCGAGTTAGACTTTTTAAAATAAAACTACTGGTTAACAACATGAAACGCCATCGCGATTTGGTTAGGTTTAGGCACCAAAGCTACTTGGTTATGTCTAGGAATTAGGTCTGACCCCGAATAGTCGAAGATTCGATGCTTTAATGGGCCGAGCCTGATTCGACTGTCAATCTCACAGTCAAAGCTTCGCAGCGAAACAAGGATCATGCCATTTTGGCGATATGGGGGTCTGATTTTACATAGAACTACCAGTTTTCTCCCAAGAAGTTAATATACAGCCTATTACAATATAAATTTCAACATTTAATGCTGTAAATAAACATGTAGAAAGAATAAAACTTTCATTAAATGTTTTTAAAGTGCCTAAATAAATCCAAAATTGTAACCCTAACCCTGGGTCGTCAGTGCGCATGTGTAGGTGTAGGGCGTAGAGTGTGTGTGTGTGTATGTCGGAAGAGAAAAGGTTGTTGAAGAGACCGAGCCCCAGCTTCACTGGTTCACCGAGTTGTCCTCACCTCGCGGGACTTTCGGATAATTTGTCACTGTTGATGAACCACACAAAGAATATTATATCATTTTTAAATAGCCGGCTACTTGAAATAGACCCTCGAGGAACCGCGAGGTGCATGCATTTTTCGTCAGCATGGCATGCACTGAACTCTGCACAAGACCGGCGAATGGCAGGCGAGGGAGAGAGAGGGTCTTCAAAAAGCCTCAGTTTAGCTGGAATTTACAGTTTAAGTTGAATGAATAGAGCTCTGCTGCTTCTCAAGATTAAAACAGAGCTACCGTGTGTTGAACCTCTGCCATGCTTGTTCAGGAATTAAAATTTTTGCAATAATTCCAAAACACATTGCCGAGACATTGCTTTCATTTCGTCTATCTTTTGATCAATAAATCAGCCAGTCATACCACTGGGGAGACAGAACAGAATCTGCAGTTTGGCAAGGACACTTGTGTCTCCGCCCTACACTTAGAGCCTATATTCTGGCACTCAAATCAGATATAAAGGAAACATGAGTCTAGATTTAGCTGTTCAGATGACTTAAGGCTGCAAGACCGTATTAATACCTGATTTTTGTTTGATCTTATGTTGATTTTTTGTATTTCTTTTTAATCTCTTTGACTTTTATCAAAGCTAAATAAACTGTTTTTATTCCAGACACATTCTACATGTTCATTGGAAAAGCTGAGCTGCATGAAAAAAAACACTACACAGTCTCTCCATGGCTCTTCCCCTGTCATTTTCAAAATCCACATGATCATGTTACACCTTTGTCTCCTGGGGTTTGCCATTTTAGTAATACAAACCTTTCTCTGAGGTAGAACTCCTCTGCAAGCAGTCCACTTAAAATCCACTCAAAACTCATTGAGGCAAGCCACAAAACAGTATCTCTGAGTGAAGCACTTCTAGCAGCCATACTGACTACATGTCTAGTAGTAATGCTTCAGCCTGGGTAGATTTGTCTTGTTCTTGTTGAAAACATTTGAGGTGTAACTTGCTCACATTCTCCAGTAAAAAAAAAAAGACTATGCCTACGACCAACTTCACTGCAGCCAGCTGCCACAGCTTCCATTGATACAGTGATCTAATTTTTCATCTCTGCTGATATTTTACTTTTAAAATACTTTTATCCACTTGTGAGTTTTCAAAATGTCAAAAAAATACCAGAAGTCATGTAGCCTACTGCTTGAATTATTAGTTACACTTCATGTAACTCAAACTGAAGTTTTGATCATGTGAAATGTTTTTCACTTATGTCCCATCCCACTCCCACAAAAATACTCCTGTCCAGTCCTAATCCCATGACAGTAACAAAAAATATTGTTCTGTCACAATCCTAGAAAAGTTACTCCCGTCCCATCCTGTTTCCATTTAAAAAATCTGGCAAATATCTTTATTTACATTAGAACTGCATATTTATATATTACAACTGAACACGTCCTGCATGCTGCCGTTTGCACGCATTTTTTCCTGTCCTGACCCAGTCCCATGATGAATAGAGAAACTGACTCACATCCCACAGCAATCCCAAACAAATGTCAGCCTCTAATACAAACATCCTCAGAGGCAACCAATGCTGAATATGTGATTGACAAATGTAATGAACTACAAGAAGCAAAGAGCCACTGATTTTTCTGATTTCAAATTACCAAATTCTAATGGCAAGTTGTGATCAACATATAGTATAAAATACATAATGTAAAACTTCAATTAATAGCCGAGTCCCAAATAGCTGCCTATCCCGTGTACTGGCCTGGTGTGGGAACACATTTTGACAAATAAAGGCCTGCCTCAATTTAACACCTGGTCTAGTTTTTATAGAAGTTCTTTGGATGTATAAAACTTCTTAAACCCTGCGAGGTTGCCTGCTTTAGTTGCTTCTAAGCTGCTTAGATCGTTAATACAATATACAGTGGGTACGGAAAGTATTCAGACCCCTTTATATTTTTCACTCTTTGTTTCATTGCAGCCATTTTCCAAAAATCAAAAAAGTTCATTTTATTTCTCAGTAATGTACACTCAGCACCCCATCTTGACAGAAAAAAACAGAAATGTAGAAATTTTTGCAAATTTATTAAAAAAGAAAAACTGAAATATCACATGGTCATAAGTATTCAGACCCTTTGCTCAGTATTTAGTAGAAGCACCCTTTTGATCTAATACAGCCATGAGTCGTTTTGGGAAAGATGCAACAAGTTTTTCACATCTGGATTTGGGTATCCTCTGCCATTCCTCCTTGCAGATCCTCTCCAGTTCTGTCAGGTTGGATGGTAAACGTTGGTGGACAGCCATTTTCAGGTCTCTCCAGAGATGCTCAATTGGGTTTAAGTCAGGGCTCTGGCTGGGCCATTCAAGAACAGCCACGGAGTTGTTGTGAAGCCACTCCTTCGTTATTTTAGCGGTGTGCTTAGGGTCATTGTCTTGTTGGAAGGTAAACCTTCGGCCCAGTCTGAGGTCCAGAGCACTCTGGAAAAGGTTTTCGTCCAGGATATCCCTGTACTTGGCCGCATTCATCTTTCCCTCGATTGCAACCAGTCGTCCTGTCCCTGCAGCTGAAAAACACCCCCACAGCATGATGCTGCCACCACCATGCTTCACTGTTGAGACAGTGTTGGACAGGTGATGAGCAGTGCCTGGTTTTCTCCACACATACCGCTTAGAATTAAGGCCAAAAAGTTCCATCTTGGTCTCATCAGACCAGAGGATCTTATTTATCACCATCTTGGAGTCCTTCAGGTGTTTTTTAGCAAACTCCATGCGGGCTTTCATGCGTCTTGCACTGAGGAGAGGCTTCCGTCGGGCCACTCTGCCATAAAGCCCCGACTGGTGGATTGCTGCAGTGATGGTTGACTTACTACAACTTTCTCCCATCTCCTGACTGCATCTCTGGAGCTCAGCCACAGTGACCTTTGGGTTCTTCTTTACCTCTCTCACCAAGGCTCTTCTCCCCCGATTGCTCAGTTTGGCCGGACGGCCAGCTCTAGGAAGGGTTCTGGTCGTCCCAAACGTCTTCCATTTGAGGATTATGGAGGCCACTGTGCTCTTAGGAACCTTAAGTGCAGCAGAATTTTTTTTGAAACCTTGGCCAGATCTGTGCCTTGCCACAATTCTGTCTCTGAGCTCTTCAGGCAGTTCCTTTGACCTCACGATTCTCATTTGCTCTGACATGCACTGTGAGCTGTAAGGTCTTAAATAGACAGGTGTGTGGCTTTCCTAATCTAGTCCAATCAGTATAATCAAACACAGCTGGACTCAAATGAAGGTGTAGAACCATCTCAAGGATGATCAGAAGAAATAGACAGCACCTGAGTTAAATATGAGTGTCACGGCAAAGGGTCTGAATACTTATGACCATGTGATATTTCAGTTTTTCTTTTTTAATAAATTTAATAAAGTTTTTTTCTGTCAAGATGGGGTGCTGAGTGTACATTACTGAGAAATAAAATGAACTTTTTTGATTTTTCGAAAATGGCTGCAATGAAACAAAGAGTGAAAAATTTAAAGGGGTCTGAATACTTTCCGTACCCACTGTATATTAATGTTTAAACGTATGGTCAATATGTCCGTATGAACATGCTACACATCGTTAGATGGTTAGATTCTCCACAATTCAGTAGTTCAGTTCATTTAAGGGAAACAACAAGACCCAAAGTCTAATTCTCATAGATTTACCGGTGTAACCTGCTTGGTACAAGAGAGGAAAGGGAAAAAAGTGATCACTGCCGTTACCTTTGAAGCGCTTGTTAACTCCAAATGTGTCCTTACTTGATTATTTATATTCCTTTAGTCTGTAAGGGTCCACCCATCAAAATAATCAAAACAGCTTTTCATAAAAATTAATCCAAGTTGTGAATCTTGTCACGTGAAGTCCATCGCTCACTGTCTGCTAACTTCTCTCATCCTGCACTGTGTTGTTGTGGTGATGTTACTTCAAAATAAAAGCACATAAGCTGTCTGTCAGAGCTAGAGCAAATGAATGACGTGTATTTGATATTATTTGATCATTTTTATACAAGTATTATTCTGTTTGAAATAAATAAACTGTTTCATAGTAGTTTCAGTTTTGTGCAAAAGGAATTAAAGGCCTGTCCCATATGGATGCCTGTCCCAAATATAGGCAGGGTCAATTCAGTGATTTTAGCAAATAAAAGCTTGATATTTCAGTATTTATATAATAAAGCAACTTGCTGGAAACCAGTAAAAATATTGTTTAGAGGTAAATCTGTATGGGGCCGTTATCCTCACATTTCCAAAACTTAGTTAAAAACACAGAAGCCACAATTCACAATTGCTTCCACAAACTCCAACTCCTGTCTTGAACCCTTACAGAAAGTTTGTCAAGCTTCCTGCATAGCTGTGCATGTACACACATTCCATAGACAGCAGAACATGTTGTTTGAAGTTGTTACAGTTACCTTCTTAATATTGCGGTTGGTAAAGTGTAAAGAAACAACCAGGACTAATTTGATTGTAACAGCATGTTCAGCTATTTTTTTGACTTTATGCATAAAAACAGGGTTCTATGTCTTCACCCATTAAGAACCAATCAAATTATTTCTTGCCCCAGCCAAAGGCAGCTTTAACTCTGAGAGATGTACATGAAACTAAAAGTCAAATTTCATTGCTGACTCTTTTTCTGTCTTTCTGTCTCCAGGCTTCCAGAGCAGGCAGTGGTGGTGCTGAAGAGCAGGAGGCTAAGGGAGAAGCTCCTCCAATCTCTGTTCCTTGACCAGATATACTGGGAGAGCCAGGGCGGCCGGCAGGGTATCGACAAGCTGATAGATGTAATTGAGAGGCGGGCCAAGGTCCTCCTCACTTATATTAATGCTCATGGAATCAAAGTCATCACAATGAATGTGTGATGAGAGTCACACAAGTCAAGTGGCCAAATTTCTGACAGATAAAGTGACTTCTGTGGGTCTGGATAAAAACATCTATACATCTAAAATTGTTACACATAATGTAATTTGTGGCAATCTTTCAATATCAACATATATCACAAGAGCATTAGAATTCCTCATTTAACATTCACAGTGAAATATTTGTAAAGTTAAGTTAAATTAATATTTATATATTTTTTCTTTAAGAATTTGTAAAAATAACAAGTATCTTGCTAATGAAGGATTGTATTATACTTTACTATTATTAATTGCTTACTATTCTTTTAAAATAGCAGAAGTTGTTGTCATTTGTGGCTAAGGAAACACTACAGCAATATTTTTGTTTTAAAAAGATTCTGAGAAAGGCTTTTTTAAATAATTTAGACATTTAAAAAGTGCCTTTTTTAAACTCTTATTTAAATAAAGAATGCATATAAGAATGATATATGTAAGAAAATACTGTAGTTAAAACCTTTGCTACCCCTGAGGCCTTCCAGCAACTGTAATTTGCATGGTGTATGAATTGAATGCACTAAATAATACCTTAATTTTGTACCTGCTCCTCAAGTGTGTGGCAGGAATTAAGATGTTGATAAAACCTCAACCCAGATCCGCTGAGCTTGATTGGGGTCACACATTATACATTGAATCTTTTTATTTTAATTGAATAAGTATTATAATCTGATCTAGAGTCTTAAATTGTTTAGTTTGTTTTTACAAACTACCAAGAAGTCAAAGGGTTTCCCCAATTTTTATACTTTTAAGATTCAAAACAGCATCAGTTATTGTGAACACTGTATATTATGAAACCTATTTGGTAAGAACTTGGCATAGTGACTGTACATTAAGAACGAAAGATAAGAAGTCAGATGGTATTATTCTGCTTTATGCACATTTTCAATTTAACTACAAAAATACCTTTAGCTGTAAACAATTTTATTGTGTTTATTTATTTTTGTACTTTTTTGTGAATTGTTGAAGATGTCTGAACATCAGATAGCAATAAACACATTTATTTAGTGTTAAGGGAAATAAGCACATTCACTCAGTCACAGTCACAGTCGCAATCCCAGTCACTGATTTTTTGATTGATTGAAATTTACCTTTATTAAATTTTAGCTTGAAATATGAAAAGACTTCAGGTGTCTGTTGTCTGTTTGACTTTACTGCATCTACCTTACTATTGTATAAAAAGTTTTTAATGAAAAAGCCACCATCAAATAACTATTAACAATATACAATCTATAAAAGTGAATTTGCAATGCCATTCTTTCCACTCATAAAGCATGGTCAGAAATAGCCTGTGGCTCTGAAATCTGACTCAGAGTGTGGCAACTGCTTTTCATGCTGTCGTAAACAGTGTGCTTTGGACTCTGAGAGAAGGGGTCGAGTGGGCTTTGTGCGTTATTTTCTTGTGTTCGTGCCGGGCATTCAGTTGACTGTTGTTTTAACCTCTCTGCACCCGCATTAGGGCATCACTGGGGTCCATGCCTCTGTGTGTTTGTGATAGAAAGGCACCTCTAGTGCTCTCCAACTGAACTTACTTCCTTTACACGTGTGTGTATGCATATTCTCACACAATAACATACATACATACATGCTAAACTATATGTAAAAACACGTTCAGACAAACAGGCATTAGGACCTGGGCTCTCCCTGACACTTTCCCCATGTATCCACATTCAGTCCCACTCAGTGAAAAACCAGTGTGTTAAATTCTGCAGGTCAAGTACAGCACTTCAAACTGACAAACAAGCCTTTACAAGCAGCTAGTCAGTCAACTCAGACATACTCAGCCAAGCATTAGTTTTCACTCTTGAAAAAACATTATCATTATCATATTACATATGAGGGAAGTAAAAGTCCTAGTGTGCAGTCCCCTGGCACAAGTGCAAATATTTAATATATAAATTCAAGCATTGAGAAAAAAGGTATCCATTTCAAAGAGCTGTCTTAAAATCCATTAAATCCCCCCACCCATGCCAAATCCTAAAAGGTCTACCACAGTGGATAGGGTCATCACTTCTCAATTCTTGGGAATTGTTAAAAAAAATAACAGCCAAACTCACAATTTTAGCATAAACAACCAAGTCAGTAATCATGCTCCATAATGAAGAAGTGTGAACAGCCTCCATATAGCCTTGTCAACCTCCATATCATAGCCTAAACTGAGAGACCAAAGCTAACCTTGGATTTGGGAATGTGACCCCCCATAAACTGTGTGTCAACTCAGATACTATTTTCTTACATTGTAGTAAATTGAAATGCAAGAGCATTGGTTTAGTTTAAACAGTGGAGGGGACAAATAAAGACTAGGGTCTGGGGGTCCTTCCCCAGGAAATTTTGAGTATTAAAGACTTAATTTCCTGCATTCTGGTTAATATTTCGGCACCAATTCATGGTTGATCTTCATATATATAAAGGGAAACACAATATTATATAGTATGTAACAATTCAAGATATAAAAAATTAATAGGATATAAAGCAGTACTAAGACTTTCAGGCATTCTGCAGCTATTGCTTTTAAATATGTTTTCTCCTGTAGATCTACTTTTCTACTTTAATAAAATCTCTGCTGAATCAGTACACATGCTTAGCCTTCCCTTCTCTTCTGAGTCTCCATTTGGGGAAATAACCTCTTTTAATAGGCCTACGTGGGACCTTTTCACCTTAAGGATAAATTCATTCATTTTAATTCAGTTAGAAACTCCTGGACTTGAATAGCTCCTGCATGTGTTTCAGCAGGTTTTCTGCTCACGTTCAAAACTTTCTGCACATTCAGAATCTCTCCCACATATCTGTGTTCTCTGACATGTCTGGAAAAAATCTCGCAATATTACGAGACTAACGTCAGCATTTAATGAGAATATATAATTTTAATTCTACCTTTCCTCTACTCTGCTGTGCATTATGTTATTGATTCGCTGATATATAAGCTATCCCCTTCAGACCATTTGACCGACACAGTGTGGGACAGCATGCTGCAAGAAACCGAGACCAACCAGAAACACTACTGATCAGGCAGAAATCTCACCACAAATCCACACGTTAACTTCAGCAGCTCCGATAAAGTGCAGCTCACAGTCCAAAAGCAAAGCTGCACTTCAATTTTAAGATGTTTGTATTGCAAAACACCAGTTACGTTACTCTCTGGACTCACAGCCTGAGGTGCACATGATTAAAATGGCTGGGCGGAGTTGATTTGCGCTGAGTTCTTTATCATGTGGCGCCCCTAGGCGACCACCTATGCCACCTATGCCATGGGCTGGCCATGGGGAAACAGCACTTGAAGGAATACTTTGACATTCTGGGAAATAGGCTTCACTTTCTTGCAGACAGCTAGATGAGAAGAGGGATGTCACCCTCTTGTTTGTACGTTAAACCATCTACATTTTGTAGCTGGAGCCAGCAGTTGATTAGCTTAGCTTAGGAGAAAGACTGTAAAGAGGGACTCTTTCTTGGCTGGGACCAGTTGCCAGACAACCACTGGAGACTCCAAAAGTTACTGGTCTTTCTAGAATAGATATTATACGATGCACCAATGCAGTGATATTAAATGACACCATGCTATGCTCATTATCATAGATACATAGCACAGCAATTGAGAAGATTTTGTCTCTGAGGCAGTGGATGAGAATGATTTGGGACGGTTCATTTCAGCTTTGCCCAGCTGGCTTCTGCCTGGTCAGATGCCAAACAGCATCCAAACAAAAGAGCTCTTTATTCCTTAGCACAGAGCTGATGATCATTCTGGTTAACCATGATGTCACTTTACCCATTCCCTGCTCTCCAGAGTTCGCCACTGACCCTCACTGAACTCTGACAAAAGAGCATGTGCCCACAACAGTATTGTCAGAGTAACTTACTTATTATGACCTTTATGTTTTTAATTAGTTTTATCCCACCTTTTGTAGTTTCAGCAATGTCAGCTTAGCTTAATTTATTAGATGATAACAAAAACGTTTTTTGAGCTAGACTGAAGGTTATAAATGAGATTGTTGCTACACTTTATAACAGTTAGAGCATAGTAACGTTATTGTGGTGAATGTGTCTTCCACTGAGTTGTTGACTTGCGCCGTTAATGTTGCATTATTGTACATTATGTGGGCAACAATAAATCAAACAAGCAGATCAAATAAATCAAATAAGCAAACAACAGAAGACCCATGCTAACTAAGCTGGCTGCCCCTGCATTGCATCACTATTGGTTTTAGAAACAAATCACCTCCACATTTGCTTTGTACTGTTACATAATTTCTTGCAACAGATAACGTTAGCAACTGGTCGGTGTTACTTTGCACTAACGTTAGTTTATCTGTCCAATAGGGTGAAAGCAAACTCTGTGTCGGTTCCAAAACAAAGTGGAGGTCTCTCCGTGATTCAGGCCTTTCTGATGTTGACCATGTTTTCTCCCGTTTTTTGGTGTTAAGCCTAGTTCACACTACAGGATTTTAAAAAAATTTGCCAGTCGGCAAGCTCGCCGACCATCAGGCTCTGATCGTGAACTACTCAACGACGCATCAAATCATATCACATCGCAAATCACATCGCTGATGCCAGCCAGATATCTAGCATGCCAAATATCTGGAGGAGTCGACTGATTCAACATCCACATCCAGCCAATGAGAGCAGGCAGCTGGCAGAGCAGGCAGCTACCTTTTCACAGCAAAACCCTTTTTACTCACCTTCAGCTCTCTCTGTAGCTCAGACGATCCCTGCTACCAGCATGTGCAAATCCATTCCTTCACCCAGATTCTTTGTCTGTATAATTGCTATCTTTATAATAACAAAAAACAGCTGTATCGTGTGTAGGTTTGCGTTATTTCCCGTTTCATGTGTGTTTTCTTGACAAAACTTGGTTTGGAGTTGTTTGCAGCTCGTGTAGTGTGTGGCGCCCTGTCACTGATCAGACACGTAGTGTGAACGCCACTTCAACGTCTTCATGACTCCTGTCACAAGACGGCAAGTTGTGTAGTGTGAACAGAACGGTGATCAGCCAACACTAAAAGTCATGTAGTCTTCACGAGCCTTTAAGCCTAGTTCACACTACATGAATTTTAGCCTGATTTGCCGCTCGGCGACTGTCAGGCTGTGATCGGGAGTAAATCAGCGGTTGATTGGCGGTCACCAGTCATTATGTGTGAACTACTCAACGAAGCATCAAAACGGCTCCCCGACACATATCTGACACATCGCCGACGTCTGCTAGATATCTAGCATGCCAAATATCTGGAAGAGTCGGCCGACTCGACATCCACATCCAGCCAATGAGAGCAGGCAGCTGCTTTTTACTCATCTCCAGCTCTCTCTGTAGCTCAGACAATCCCTGCTACCTGCTTGTAATCCATTATTTCACCCGTATTCTTTGTCTTTATAATTGCTATTATTTATTAATTGCTACTATTATTATTACTATTTATTAACAGCTGTTTCGTGTATAGGTTTGCTCATTTCCCGTTTCACATTTCCCGTGTGTTTTCTTGACAAAACGTGGTTTGGAGACCAGCGTCGGGTGGCACAGTTTCTGTCAGCTCGTGTAGTGTGTGACCCCCTGTCACCAGCAAGTTGTGTAGTGTGAACAACATGGCGATCGGCCGACGCTGAAAGTCGTGTATTCTGCACGAGCCTTTAGCGAACTCCATTTCATTAGCTGCGTTGTTGTTGTTGTTGTGTATAGAGTTCAGAATCGGTGGGCAAGAGGCTCCGGAGTGTACATGCAAGAAATCTGACCCAATTCCTTCACATATAACACAGAATAGTGGCTGTTCCAAGGGGCAAAGCAGGCGTGTGATTCATTTTTATGTGAGGTTACAACCAGTTCACAAATAGGCAGTAAATAATTGATTTATTAAAGTGTGATTTCATTAAAAAACTACATATAGTCTATATATTGACTTTAAAGAAATATTCACTACCATACACTGATTCCCTTTCTTGCTGAGAGTTAGATGAGATGATTCATACAACTGTCATATCTGTACAATGAATACTGAATATGAAGCAATCAGCAGTTGGTTAGCTTAGCATACCAATTAGACTGGAAAGGGGGGAAAAAAACTGCAAGCCTGGCATTGACCATACGTCACAAAATCCATCTACCAGCACCTCTAAAACTCATTAATTAACATGCTGTATC